CATGCCTGTAGTCCCAGCTACTTGGGAGGCTGAGGCAGGAGACTTGCTTGAACCCGGGAGATGGAGGTTGCATTGCACTCCAGCCTGGACAACAGAGTGAGACTCCGTCTCAAAAAAATAAAATAATAATAATTCATTCATACTAATGTTTGGTTATATTGGTTTTTATTATTATGACACTATAGTTACATAATGTTATTATTTACTTATTTAGAGCTGGGTGACAGAGTGACTATGAGTGCAGTGCTGAGTGTGGTGCTATGATCATAGCTCACTGCAGCCTCAGACTCTTGTGCTCAAGTGATCTTCCTGCCTCAGCCTCCGAGCAGCTAGTTTCTATGTGCTTTTTTTTTTTGAGACGGAGTCTGACTCTTGTTGCCCATGCTGGGGTGCAATGGGGTGATCTTGGCTCACTGCAACCTCTGCCTTCCGGGTTCAAGCGATTCTCCTGCCTCAGCCTCCTGAGTAGCTGGGATTACAAGCATGTGCTACCACACCCGGCTAATTGTGTCTTCTTATTTATTTGTGAGGAAGACAGAGCTGAACAAATTATATCAATATGTGCAAATATCAATACAAGATTTTGCTAAGGGAGAGCCTTTTTTTCTGGTCAGTTACATTTGAAGTAGGCTCCTCGTAAGGTCTTTGTAATTCAAGGTCCTGGGCTCCACACTGAAGAGCTGCACCGTACTGCCTCTAGGGGTCAGCATAACGCGAAGGATGAGCAAGCACAGCCACCCATTTCAGAAAGCAAAGATTTGTAGGGTGGAGGAAGGAATGCAGGTAACTATGCAGGTTTCCACTGAAAGTGAGGATGAGGAGTTGAGGGGAAGCAGATTCTATGCCCAGTCCACACACTGTTTTGATTTGTGTTCAATAGACGATCAGGGACCCAAATAATTTAATAATATTTGGCCTATCACATAAACTCCCTTGAAATTAGTGACAGGATTTTCTTTTCTTTTCCTTTACAATTTTAACTTAAAGACCAGTGTGATAGTAAACTGACAGGATTTTCATTATACTCCTCATACATACTGAAAGCCACTTACTTTTTTAAATTTTACTTTATTTTATTATCATTATTATTATACTTTAAGTTTTAGGGTACATGTGCACAACGTGCAGGTTTGTTACATATGTATACATCAGTCACTTACTTTTTAAATCTCTGTTTTGACACTTTGGACTTAGACCACAGATATTAAACACCACAAATTGCTTGTCCCAAATGTAATGGTTTTTCTTTTTTTCTAATTTTTATTTTTTATTATTAAATATCTATCTATATTTTTTTTTTGTAGAGATGGGTATCATACCACATTGCCCAGGCTGGTCTCAAAACTCCCAGGCTCAAGCAATTCTCCTGCCTTGGCCTCCCAAAGTGTTGGGATTACAGGGGTGAGCCACTGTGCCCAGCTATGTAATGGTTTTTCAATTTGAACTTCCTATATATTTTTTATTTATTTTGAGCCAGGGTCTCACTCTGCTGCCCAGGCAGGAATGCAGTGGCACAATCATGGCTCACTGTAGCCTCCAACTCTTAGGCTCAAGCCATCCACCTACTTCAGTCTCTTGAGTAGCTAGGACTACAGACACACACCACCACGCCAGGCTAACTTCTTTATTTTAATTTTTTTTAGAGATGGGGTCTTGCTATGACCTAGGCTGGTCTTGAACTGCTGGCCTCAAGTGATCCACCTGCTTCAGCCTCCCAAAGTGCTGGGACTATAGGTGTGAGCCACTGCACCCAGCCCAAATTTCTTATTTTAAGGCTAGAATGATGAGTGGCTGGCTGGCCCTCTCTCTAAGGTAGTAAACGGTGGGCTTTATTCTTTTTATCTATAAACTATTTTATTTTATTTTTGAGACAGTCTCACTCTGTTACCCAGGCTGGAGTACAGTGGAGTAATCTCGGCTCACTGCAACCTCCTTCTCCCGGGTTCAAGTCATTCTCCTGCCTCAGCCTTCAGAGTAGCTGGGATTACAGGCACCCATCACCACCCCTGGCTAATTTTTGTATTTTAATAGAGACGAGGTTTCACCGTGTTGTCCAGGCTGCTCTTGAACTCCTGACCTCATATGATCCACCTGCCTCAGCCTCCCAAAATGCCAGGATTCCAGGTATAGGCCGCCGCGCCTGGCTACCTAAAAACCATTTTAAATACCTTTGCAGAAGTGTGGTAAGCATACATTTCTGGGGAAACTCATTAATGAAACTCACTGCCATTATGCTGCCTCTCAGTCACTGCATGGTGTCAATCTCAGAGACATTTGAAGGGCTAAAATATAAGCAGGGGTAATTAACAGCACGCTTTGCTTTTATATCTTGGTATATTTCCTCGTGCCTCGGAACAATACTGCTGGGGACCACAGCTGATTTTCTGCCTTGGTTGATGACTGCTATGCAGTGAGAATTTAACAGTGTTGGCAATCTATGCTACAAGAAAAAGAGCATTGTATTTTTCCTCTTCCTTTAAGGGGAAAAGAAGAAACAGCACTTGGGCAGTTCAGTAACAGTCTTTGGGCATAAGAAAAGAAATCATTTCTTATTCCTTACAAACTGATTTACAAAAGAACACTGGAAGCTAAAATCCGTGTTGATTTATCATGTGAAGCAGAGAGTAATTTTTCTCCCCTTGTTATGCTTTCATATAATCATGCTCACTGCCTGTATGGGTGGCATTAAAGAATTTTTGAATAAAAATAATAATTTCTTGCTTTCAACCTTCATAATTCACATCAGCAAGCACCCTGCTGGGTGGCGATGCCTACTGCCAGTGACGCTCAATCTTTTTTGCGTGCCACTTATCTGCCTCGCACAGCTGCGTGCTCCATTGATCGCAATACCTGCAGGATAATGCGCCCGAAGGCGTTCTTCAGCAGATTAACCACATCCGCGTGAGACAGCCCATCCAAAGGTTGCCCGTTAATGCTGACAATCCGATCCCCAACCTGGAAGCACAAAAGTGACAGAAAATCACTATCATTAAGAAAAATTAAATTTGAGAAGAATGCTTAAAATTCTTTGCAAGTCCTATTTCCCATTGGTGGCTATTGTGAGGATTCTGCGTTACTACTGTGTATACATGTTCAAGAAGCATGAGGAATTTTTTTGGCTTTCCCCAAATACAGACAAATCAGAGCAACAAGAAGGGGGTCAGATTTGATTATTAAAAAGCACAGTAGGCCACTTTTGTATTTTGGTAATGGTGGTGTTTCATACATCCATTGCCAGTAATAGCGAGGTGTACACATTAACTGTTCAATAAAGTTCTAATGAGGAAGCCAAATATTTTCTGCTTTATTTTTCTACTGAAATTAAGATTAAGGGGCAACAAGGGGGAGAAATCATAAAAATGGTGATTCTTTTGATTGAGGGAAGACTCTAAGGTCAAATGTCTCTCAGTTGAGAGCTGAGTTTGGGTGAAATGAGGTGCTTAAAAGGGTAAAGGAGGGTTTGCAAAGGGGCTGCAATTTCTTCTTTTATTGAGAAGCTTTGATACAAATAATAATATTTTTACGTGCCTGGGGACCTAATGAATTTCTAAAGGTATAAAGCTTCTTTAATGCATCTTGCCCTCAGCCTGGGTCTCTGATGGCTATTGGAATTCCAGTTTTAAACAAGGTGCCCAGGGCTGCAACTTCCTCTCCCACCCCACCACATGCTGTTAGCCCTTCAACCAGTTATCTTTTGTTTACTTTAAGCTTCTGTGTCCGTGCAGCCACTCCACTGGCCTGAATCATGGCAATAAATATAGGGATATCTCCTAAGGGACTTCCTCTTCCTCCAGCAATACTGATTCCAAGGGCATCACTGAGCTCCTAAAAAAGAAAGAAAACATAATGCTTATATTTTTAATAAAGAGCCACAAACTGACTATCCCCAGATAGCTATTGAACAAAATCCCCCCATGAGGTAGGAGGCCAAGATAACACAGGAGTTAAATGTGGAGACTTCGGAGTAGACAGCTCTAACTCTTTTTTTTTTTTTGAACAAAGTTTCGCTCTTGTTGTCCAGACTGGAGTGCAATGGCACGATCTCAGGTCACTGCAACTTCTGCCTTCCAGGTTCAAGCAATTTTCCTGCCTCAGTCTCCTGAGTATCTAGGATTACAGGTGCACGTCATCACGCTTGGCTAATTTTTTGTATTTTTAGTAGAGACAGGGCTTCACCATGTTGGCCCGGCTGGTCTTGAACTCCTGACCTCAGGTGATCCACCCGTCTTGGTCTCTCAGAGTGCTGGGATTACAGGTGTGAGCCACTGTGCCCAGCCCCAGCTCTAGCTCTTAATTAGTTGTGGGGTCTTGGGGGAAGTTACTTAACCTTGTGAAAATTGTCAGAATCAAATTGGAGTCACTTGTGTTAAAAAAAAAATCCTTACCAATAGAGCCAGGAAAGGCTATGAAGAAAGGGTTCTCAGGCTTGTATGCCTGATAACAAAAATTATCACAAAAGACTGCAAAAACCACAACCCTGCAGGAAGGACGTCACAACCTTACATAAAAAAAGTTTCCACAAGTGCATTTGTCCGGCAAATGCCTGTCCAGCCTTGGGCTGTGTGTCACCCCTGTTATTAATCTTTGTAGCCAAGGATAATTATCTCAAAATAATTATATATTCCTCATTTTGTCCTCTAAAAACTTTTATTTTCCTTACCTGCCTGAATATGCACGTAGTCTACCATGGCCCGCATATTCCCATTCCTCAATAAACACCATTTTCTTTTAGAGAGCCTCTCTGTTTGTTATTTAGGCTGACTACCTCTTAAAGCCTCCATCTCTATATATAAAATGAGAAGAATACTACATACCTGACAGTGTTGGTCTGAGCATTAAATGAGATGGTATGGCACACTCATGGCCTACAGAAAAGGCTCAATAAAAGGCAATAGCAGGAGTAAATTAAACACACACACACATACACACACACACACACACAACGCCCTATGCAGCTGCTTAGTTTAGTGGCCAATTCTGATGCAGACTTGGCAAGTATATTCTCATATGGTGTTTATGATTAAACTGCCACACATACTATGCTCTTCTGGGTGTGAACAAACACATTTGGCTTTAAAAGGCTGCGTTAAAACAAAGGATCTGAGAGGACACCCACTGTAGTAACAACAGTTTGAAGAGAGACATAAAATGTGGCTGAAAATGTTCCCCAAGATGGACTCTGGTGAAGAGACTTGGCTTTAGTCCAGTCTTTTCCCACATTAGTATCATAGGGTTAATATTTTTAAAATCACTAAAAGAACAAATGACAAGTCCCAGTTCTGGCATGGTAGCACAGACACGTGACAGCATCTCTCTCCTGCTGGTTACAATCAAGATGTCTAGTCAAAATGTAAAAAACAACTACCTGGGGCCTCTGAAACAAAAAGAAACCAAATAAAGTGTGGTGGAGAGTCAAAACTCAGAGAAACGACAGCAGCGAGGGGAAATTCCCAGTTTTATTTTTTTTCCTGGCAGCTTTACCCTGAGGGCGATTCCCAGTCAAGGAGCTGGAAAGGTAGGCTGAATGCTAACATTCAGATAGAAATTCCATCCTTCTAGGCAGAAGAATCAGGAAAAAGAGGGAAAGAGAAGAAAAGCAGAGTAGAGGAAGCTGAAGAAAACGAATCCTCAGTTCTGTTTGTGAACCCACAGAACTCTCAGGCTACGTATGTGTGGGACAGACCCAAACCAGCATAGCAGAAGCTTAGAGGCTGAGTGTGGTGGCTCACTCCTGTAATCCCAGCACTTTGGGAGGCCGAGGTGGGTGGATCACTTGAGGTCAGGAGTTTGAGACCAGCCAGGCCAGCATGGTGAAACCCTGTCTCTAATGAAAATACAAAAAATTAGCTGGGCATGGTGGCATGCACCTGTAATCCCAATTACTTGGGAGGCTGAGGGAGGACAATGACTTGAACCTGGGAGGTGGAGGTTTCAGTGAGCCGAGATTGCACCAGTGCACTCCAGTCTAGGCAACAGAGCGAGACTCTCTCAGAAAAAAAAAGAAATAAATTTCTGCTTGGCTCACGTGTGGTAGAATAGGGTAGGTAGGAGCAGGCTTTATTACAAAAGCCTGTAAAAACAAGTGGCTGAAATAACTAAGGAAATATAAAATAATATTATTTTTGAAATCTTAGGGGAGAAATGTATGCAATAATTTTTTGGCTTTGTTTAAATCCATCATGATGTTTCCTTAATTTATCCATAATTATCTATACTGTTGGTACATTTAACTTCCCCATGATAGGAACATTTGACTTGCTATTCTGGTGGAAAAATACTGGGAACAAATAAGGCAGATTTAGTCAAAGCTGTAGCTCATAACAACAGAGCCACTTCCTAGGCATTCCTGATGCACTAGGTACTATGCTAAAGATATTACATTCATTACCTCACTTAATCCACACAACAATATTTACCTTTGAGGTAAGTTAGTGTTATCACTCCCATTCTACAGACGCGAAAATTGAGGTTGAGGTTGACTTGCTAACTATTATAGAGCTAATGGCCTTTTTTTTTTTTTTTTTGAGACAGGGTTTTACTCTGTCGCCCAGGCTGGAGTGCCGTGGCATGATCACGGCTCACTGCAGCCTCAACCTCCTGAGCTCAAGCGATCCTCCCACTTCAGCCTCCCAACTAGACCACAGGCATGCACCACCATGCCTGACTAATTAAAAAAAAAATTATTTGTAGAGACAGAGTTTCCCCATATTGCCCAGGCTGGTCTCAAACTACTGGGTTCAGTGATCCTCCCACCTCGGCCTCCCACAATGCTGGGATTACAGGTATGAGCCACCACACCCAGCTGTACAGCTAATGTACAGGCTGAATTGTGTCCCCCTAAGAATCACATGCTGAAGCCCTAAGTACCAGGGCCTCAAAATGTGACTGTATTTGGAGATAGGGCCTTTAAAATGAGGCCAGGGTGAGCCCCAGTCCAATGTGACTGGTGTCCTTATAAGAAAAGATTAGGACATAGGAGAGACACCAGGGATGATGAGTGACACACAAAAAAGGCCATGTGAGGCTACAGCAAGAAAGCGGACATCTGCATTCCAAGGAGGGGGGCCTCAGGAAAAACCAAACGTGCAGACACCTTCATCTTGGATCTAGCCTTCAGAACTGTGAGAAAATAAATTCCCGTTGTTTAAGCCACCCAGTCTGTGGTGTTTTGTAACTGCAGATCTAGCAAACTAATGCAGCTAATAAATGGTAGAATGCTCTCAAACAGAGGTATCATTAAATCTAGAGAAGTAAGCTCTGCTGGATATCACTTTACTGCAGTGGATTGCCATGATTACAACAAGGTCATTATTTGTTCTTGAACCCCTCATTTAGGTCAAAGTGAGCAAAATAAAAGTCTACTTTTGGCCGGGGCTGGTGGCTCATGCCTATAATCCCAGCACTTCAGAAGGCTGAGGAGGTTGGATCACTTGACGGCAGGAGTTCGAGACTAGCCAGGCCAACATGGAGAAACTGTGCCTCTACAGAAAATACAAAAATTAACCAGGCGTTGTGGTGCATGCCTGTAGTCTTAGCTACTTGGGAGACTGAGGCACGAAAATTGCTTGAACCCCGGAGGTGGAGGTTGCACTGAGCTGAGATAGCGCCACTGCATTCCAGCCTGGGCGACACAGTGACTCCATCTCAAAAAGAAAAAGAAAAAGAAAAAAAGAATCTACTTTCATTAGATATCATCACAGAGGAGTCTGAAAATCAGGGTTCAACAAATTTATGAACTGAAATACATCTTATACAATCTTCTCAAAAGCGGAATTTAGCAACATGTATAAAAGTCTCTAATAACAAACTTGGCTTTTGACCCTGAAATTTCATTTCTAGGAATTAATCCTGAGGAAATTACTCATGATATGGGCAAAAATATAAAGATGTTTTACTATAAAAGATAGCAAAAATCGAGAAATATGCTAATTGTTCAATAATAGGAAACTGGTTAAGAAACTTATAGCATGTTTGGCTGGGTGCAGTGGCTCACTCCTATAATCCCAGCACTCTGGGAGGCTGAGGCGGGCAGATCATGAGGTCAGGAGATCAAAATCATCCTGGCTAACACGGTGAAACCCTGTCTCTACTAAAAACACAAAAAATTAGCCAGGTGTGGTAGCAGACGCCTGTAGTCCTAGCTACTCGGGAGACTGAGGCAGAAGAATGGTGTGAACCTGGGAGGCGAAGCTTGCAGTGAGCTGAGATCACGCCACTGCACTCCAGCCTGGGTGACAGAGCAAGACTCTGTCTCAAAAAAAAAAAAAAAAGAAAAGAAACTTATAGCACATTCATATGCTGGAGTACTATGAAATCAATAAAAATCATGCCACATGCTGTCAAAAAATACTCACTTAGTATGTGCCACATGATACCATTTTTGTTTTATAAAACTTTACATGTACAGGTTAAAAGACGAAGATTGAAAAAAAAAAATAAAACTTACAGGCACAGAATATAGTGGATGAGATTTACCAAAAAATTCATAGAGGTCATCTCTGTGCTCTACTGTACTTTTCTAAGTCTATTTATTGATGTTATTTAGACCATATTTTTATCTCAGTAACTTGAAAGAGCACACTTACAATCCAATAAATTGTATTGGGGAAAATGTACATTTAATGCAAATCCAACACAAACCAGAAAAACATATATAGCAAAATGACTGACTTACCCTGTTTATCTCAACAGTCCTTGGTTCCATATCTGTGCCTATAAAGAAGCAACACAATTAACTTTTTAACATTAAAAAATAATATATTTAGGATATAATATTGTCCCATGAAAAATGGTTTCATTTTCTCGGTCTTTCAAGATAAGACACTAAAGCAAGCAGGTATTGTACACCCCTCCTCAGCATCCAAGCTGGTAGCCAAGTCACCAGGGGCCATGTCCTCTTTTTTTTTTCTTTTGAGACAAGTCTCGCTTTGTCACCCAGGCTGGAGTGCAGTGGCACCATCTCAGCTCACTGCAACCTCTGCCTCCCAGATACAAGCAATTCTCCTGCCTCTGCCTCCAAACAGCTGGGATTACAGGCGCCCGCCACCATGCCCAGCTAATTTTTGTATTTTTAGCAGAGACCCGGTTTCACCAAGTTGGCCAGGCTGGTCTCAAACTCTCAACCTCAAGTGACCCACCGTATCCAGCCTGCTGTGTCCTCTATTTTTAAGAAGTGCTCTCTGTCTGAGATTGATGTGGCCATAATCATTTGGTCTGACAAAAGTTGATGCGCTATATAGCAGCAGCTGCCTGGAACATGGTGAGTAAATGCTTGGAGGATTGAGTCATTTGTGTTTTGTTTTGTTTTTTTTTAGATGGAGTCTCACTCTGTCACCCAGTTTGGAGTGCAGTGGTTCGATCTCAGCTCACTGCCATCTCTGCCTCTTGGGTTCAAGCGATTCTCCTGCCTCGGCCTCCCGAGTAGCTGCGATTACAGGCATGTGCCACCACGCCCGGCTAATTTTTGTATTTTTAGTAGAGGCGAGGTTTCTCCATGTTGGCCAGGCTGGTCTTGAACTCCTGACCTCAGGTGATCCGCCCGCCTTGGTCTCCCAAAGTGCTAGGACTCCAGGCATGAGCCACTGTGCCCAGCAGAGTCATCTGTGTTTCATTGTACATTTTTTTCTACCTTAATCAAAGATAACCCTCCATTCAACAAAAGACTTAAAAGGACCCCTTGTCCCATCCTGTCCCCAAGGAGATACACACTTTTTTTTCTTTTTAACTGGCCCAATTTTCCCATAGAAGGTATACACACTTCTCACCTTTCTTCAGTGACCTGTAATTTATTAATTTTCTCTTTGTAAATAATTTTACTTTATGATGCACTCCAGCTTTCTGCTTTTCTGTTTTTCAGGTGCTCTGTGTTGTGCCACTGAAGGAATTTCTTTTTTTTTTTTTCTTGAGACGGAGTGTTGCTCTGTCACCCAAGCTGGAGGGCAGTGGCACCATCTCGGCTCACTGCAACCTCTACCACCCCCTCCAGGTTCAAGCAATTCTCCTGCCTCAGCCTCCCAAGTAGCTGGGACTACAGGCGTGTGCCACCATAACCAGCTAATTTTTTTGTATTAATAGAGACGGGGTTTCGCTATGTTGGCCAGGTTGGTCTCGAACTCCTGACCTCAGGTAATCTGCCTGCCATGGCCCTCCTAAAGTGCTGGGATTACAGGCATGAGCCACCATGCCTGACCACCACTGAAGGAATCTCTATGGCTTCCTTACCTTCAGAACAGGCCTTTCAGAAAGCTCAGCTTATGCAGCCAAGCTCAAAAAATTAAGAAACATTTAAATTAAAGAGGACTTTTTAAAAAAACACTATATATATATATTTTTTTTAAATTTGGGTAACAGGATAGTTTTGCTGTGGGTGTGTCTGTGTAATACCTGAATTTTTCTGGGAAGGATCTGAAACTCTTTTTGTGCCAACCAGGTTTTGCAAGCCAGTGATGACAGGAGCGAAGGAGGGATGACAGCTGCTGTGTGCGCTCTGTTGACTGCCCTGAAAGAAAGACCCAGGGGTCATCTGTGTGCAGACACTGACTTGGCCCCCAAAATGCATACTTATCCATTAGTGTGCCAATTACTGATGTCACCATAACCATCTAACAGAAAATCATGAAGAGGCCAAGAAAGAAAACAAAAATCACCCACACTTATTCTCTTACTACCTCAACCCAATCCCATTTAGACATTTCCCCCATTGCTTTCTCCATTATATGTGCTTTTGTATATGGTTTCAATCACCAAGATGAAGAACATACAATCATTTCAGCTGTTCTTGCTCCACATAAAATCAAAACCATTTTCCTAGGTTGCCACATAGTGTTTATGTATATATAGTCAGCTAATGGGCACTATGTTTCATTTGGGGTTACAGTCAACCTTATTACCCAAAATGTATTTGGGTATTCCCTTATTACCCAAAATGTATTATGTATTTTGCTAAAACACGTATAATAAGACCTTGATTAGCAGAAACCTGCCAAAATAGAACCCTCAATTGTGGGGAAAAAAGCACGAAATCTCAAGGGTTTTTAAAAAGGCTTGTTTTAGGGATATATAACATTTTTTCTCAAATATTTTCCTAGAATCCGTAATAATTTAGTCCAATCTGCTAGACCTCCATTACTTGTCCCTTTATTCATTTAAATGAATATGTGAGGTTAATACTGTGTAGTCTTTTAAGGCTAGTGGCTATTCAACAAAAATTGTATACATAGTGAAGAGCCTTCTTTATGTAGACAACAGTATTGCAAATAATGAATAATTTTTTCTAATGAATTATTCTGCATCAAAACTTTAAGCTAAGCCCAAGATCACCGTTATCAGTTCATAAATTATAATTTGGTACATTTTCTTAACTCTCTGATGAAAATTTTGTTTAATATTTTAATTCCTAAAATATGAAAACCCTCAAATATATAGAAAAGCTGAATTATACAATAGACGTCCATATAAATGGCACCTAGATTCCACAATTAGTATTTTGCTATGTTTCCTTTATCACATAGTTATTTATCTATTCATCACTCATCTCATTCATTTCAAAGTAAGTTGCAGATCTCAATATACTTCACAGTGGCTATATACATTTAAAAGAGTGTTTTTATATTTTTCCTTAAAGGATATGATTTAAATAAATGGTACTATAATAGATAACTACTCAGAACAGGAAGTGCAGCATATTATAACTTTTGCCTTTAAAAATTTTCAGAAAGATGTGTTTGCCAAGACCTTTATTGTATTGTATTATAATTTTTGAGGAGTCTCCCTCTGTCACCCAGGCTGGAGTGCGGTGGCGCAGTTTCAGCTCACTGCAACCTCCGCCTCCCAGATTTAAGTGATTCTCCTGCCTCAGCCTCCCGAGTAGCTGGGATTACAGGAGCCCACCACCATGCCCAGCTAATCTTTAGTACAGACAGGGTTTCACCAGGCTCTTTGGCCAGGCTGGTCTTAAACTCTGGCCCTCAAGTGATCTGCCCACCTCGACCTCCCAAAGTGCTGGGATTACAGGTATGAGCCACCATGCCCGGCCCCAAGACATTTATAAAAGTACACTTTGCCTGGCTGTGTTGCCTTAGTTGACTGAGGAAAAGATCTCGCAAGAATTCCTTCCTCTGCAGGGTAAGGAAATTTCTTCCTGGTTTGTGGGGAAAGTCACTTTAAAAAAAAGACGCTTGGTGGCCCCAAAGCTAGAAGTTATTTCTCTCTTAATGAACTCACTTTCTATAAATTAAGTCAACAGCTTATTCTCCTTAGTGCTCAAAAGAAGGCATTTATCTCCCTATTTTGTAACTATTCAGAAGGAAATCTGTGTTCCTACAAGATCCTGATTTTTAAAACAGGTCTGGATGTAAAAATGTTTGGCAATGGAATCTTGTTTTTGCCCACCAGGGTCAGTCTTCAACTCATCATGATGGGAAGACATTTCCTTTTCACAGTCGGCTACCAGCCTTCTTCTAATTAGCCAAATAGGGCAAACTCTTCTATCTCACCCATAATTTTAACCAAGGTGATGATATGTTTACTGTTTTCAAAAATTGAATTAAACTCCTACCCTCTGAAATTAAAATTCTGTGCAAGAAGAGTAGGGCAAAGCATTTGATACTTTGTCCCAGGTTTCTAAAATATGACAGCTCACATTTATATACCAGGTAAGTGATGATGATAGGTTTTTTTTTTTTGATATTTAATGATGCAGCTTCTAAATTTGCTAGTTCTGTCTTTAAGTGTGAACTTAAAAATTACGAAGATGCACCTGGGTGCAATGGCTCATGCCTGTAATCCCAATACTTTGGGAGGCTGAGGTGGGTGGATCACCTGAGATCAGGAGTTTGAGACCAGCCTGACCATGATGTTTCGAAACCCTGTCTCTACTAAACGTACAAAAATTAGCCGGATGTGGTGGCGGGCACCTGTAGTCCCAGCTACTTGAGAGGCTGAGGCAGGAGAATCACTTGAATCCAGAAGGCAGAGATTACAGTAAGCCAAGATTGCACTGCGCTCCAACCTGGGCAACAGAGCGAGACTCTGTCTCAAAAATAAATAAATAAATAATTATGAAGATGCTCACATACACTCCTCAAGAGGGACAGAAATCCAGTTCTATCTACTACCTTACCTATTGATCAGTCCAAACTTTTCTTAAATCACACAAACTCCTGTTACCTCTTTGTGCCTTTGTGTATGCTATTTTCCCTGTCTGAGATGCCTTTTCCTTCTTTTTGCCAAACTCCATCTGGACTGAGATTCAGTGGAAGCTCCTCTGGATAGCTTCATTCTCATTTTTCTGTATATAATAAGGCTTTAATGAAATCATTCAACAAAGATGAGTCTTCCATTAAGGAAGAATCCTGGCTAGACAACTGTTTTGTTTGTTGATAGAAGTCTGGTCAATATCATCAGTAACTATTAACTCATGCAATCCTACAGCAGCACCATGTCTTAGATACTTGCTGCCCATTATGTAAGCCAGAAATGAAAAAAAAAAGGGTTTCAAACTTAATATGGTGTTTACTGGGTTTGACTGCTTTGAAGATTCCCTAAGATAAGCCAGCTAGTCTGTAAGCCTATGTGAACAATGGTATTTTCCTCACTCATTTTTTAACACCAGTGAGGAACAGGAGGCGGCTAACAGCTTTCCAGAAGTACCTGTGGGCTAACTGTAAGATCAGAGCATCTTCTGAACAAAGGCCTTGGAGAGGCTTCAGAAATAAGGCAACCAGGCAGGGGACCAAAAGTCATGCTTTTAACCTCAAAACTAAGGCGGCCTATCCATAACCCAGAGAGGAGACTAAGGGGTCGCATATCAGTTTCTATAGTCTCATTATGTACCACATGGGGCTAACCATACAGTCTACCATCTTGATTTTGTCAGCCATTACAATGAAAAAAATATAGTTAAATATACTTTGCTAAAAAAAAAATGGCACTTACATCAGCCTTGCAAATAAATATAAGATGTTTGCTAACCCACAAAATATCACCCACTAAGGCCTCCCTCCCACAGGAAAAACCCCCACACTTGGTTCTCCTAGGAATATGCCATTAATTGCCCTCAGCATGTGTGAGTGGCTAGTCACAAGTTAACTTTACAGCAATATTTAATTGAATGAATAGAACAATGTTGTGCTAATGAGGGTCAAATTGCCACCAGATGTTGCCTTTTTTTTTAAATAAACACAGCTGTGTACATGCGTGCACAGGCGATAAAAAACTAATAGTGAGAGAGAAAAGTGGTTCTAAGAAAACATTTGCAAGCAATAGAGAGAAAAATCGAGGGATTAATGAATTTCCATCCCGCCTTTCATTTTTATTTCAAACACATGAAAATTCACTAAACTTGGTGCTGTGAATATGCTGTACATTAGATATTATTTCCAAACAATCATTTATTAAATGGGGAGTTTTCTCCCAATGGGGGCAGAAGAGTGAGTCAGTCTGATGAGAAGCCATCGACAACCTGACTGTTCTGTGATGTCTTCCTTGCGGAGGTCCAGGAACCAGCTCGGAGTCTTCCAATCTCTAGCTGCACAAGCCCCTGTGCACACTTGGAAAGGCAGAAAAGAACAGAAATGAAAAGTAGTAGCATTTACATTCTGAAATATCTTAACAGAGCCTCTCCCTGCAGCCATGAATTATAAAAGGGTAATGAAAGCAACAGGCATAGCCCTAGAGAGAGGAGGATGAATTCTGTGGCTCCTGGAGGGCCCATCTCATCAAACGCATTTAGAGAACAGTCACGGATACTCAGAATGTTCACAAGTATGAAGAACTTGCTTGTGAAATCCCAAAGCAGGTTCCCTTTCATTCTGTTAGTCAATATAACAGAACTTTTTTTTAAAGCTATTCCTGCTCAATTAAAATAATCAGAGATTAAATTTCCAGTAAAAACTAGAGTTAGCATAAAGTCCAACCCATTTTATAATCAAGCTAGACTAAACAGTTCCCACTGGACTTCAGCTGTGCCAGCTGAGTAAAAAGCAGCCTAGCAACTCACCTTTAGGATGGTGGCCACTGTCTCCTGTGAGGCATTTCTCATGTCCTCCCCATTCACAGATAAGATCTGATCTCCCTGAATCAATCTCCCATCCAGGTCTGCGGCTCCGCCTTTCACGATGTCAGAAATAAACACTCCGCTTCCATTTCTGTTAATACCATACAGCAGTGCAGTATTGGCACAACCTAATATTTCCATCCATAATACGTGTGTGTGTGACACGATACACACACATATACTCCTTTCTTCTTCCAGTTTTCTTTTCTTTTTTTTTTTTTTTTTTTGAGACGGAGTCTCGCTCTGTCGCCCAGGCTGGAGTGCAGTGGCCGGATCTCAGTTCACTGCAAGCTCCACCTCCCGGGTTCACGCCATTCTCCTGCCTCAGCCTCCCGAGTAGCTGGGACTACAGGTGCCTGCCACCTCGCCCGGCTAATTTTTTGTATTTTTTAGTAGAGACGGGGTTTCACCGTGTTAGCCAGGATGGTCTCGATCTCCTGACCTCGTGATCCGCCCGTCTCGGCCTCCCAAAGTGCTGGGATTACAGGCTTGAGCCACCGCGCCCGGCCTAGTTTTATTTTCTTTTTGTTTCTTTCATACCTTGGCAATTCATCTTTATCAGCACATGGAGCTTCCTCATTTTTTAAATGGCTACATACTATTCTATGATGTTTCATAATTTCACTTACCAGTAGCTTACTGATGGACATACAGGTTATTTCCATTCTTTAACTATTGCAAACAACAAGCAATGAATATCTGTAAGTATATCTTTAAGATAAAGTCCTAGTGATGGAATTGTTAGTCAAAGAAAATTGTGACTTTTGAGAACGATACATCCTTTACCATGCAAGTTTTTGTGCTAAGGAATGTAAATGCTCCTTACAAACTCAACCTGAAATACTGATGTTCACTAAAAGCAAAAAACATTACTCTAAATGAAACTGCACCAGGTATACATATGCGTCTAAACAAGAAAGCAAACTTCAGCACTGGCTCTGTCAGTTGCTCTGTATCCACATGTGCACTGATTTTTGTTTAGAAATGTAAGAGACTCAGTTTTTTTGGTTCGGTAATACATTTTCAGAGTGATGGTTTTATGGTGCTGAAGTAAAAAAAAAAAAAAAAAATGAGATTATGACAGCACAATACTTGGCCCAAAATCAGTACTCAAAAATTGTAGCTAATATTTTTATCTTAATAACAGCTTGGACTGTTGAACAAAAGCACTAGGCTAGTCACCAGAGGTCTGTGAGGGCATATAACGTAACATGCATAAAACCAACTTAATTTCTTCCTTAACAACATGGTCGATACACTTTAAGGCCATATTAGGATATTACCTGGAAATCCTATAGTCCTGTTGGGATAAACACATACTAGATACCTAAAAGCCAGTAAACCATGGAAGCCAGGCTTTGTTTCAAGCTATTACTTACCTTTCCAATTCACTGCAAGAGAAACTTAGTAATATCATCCTGGAACAAACTACTGTTAAGCAGTATAGACTTCATTTTTCTTTATTTAAAAAATTGTTTTAGAGACAAGTCTTGCTGTGTTGCCAGACTGATCTTGAATTCCTCACCTCAAGTGATCCTCCCACCTCAGCCTCCCAAAGTGTCGGGATTACAGACGTGAGCCACTATGCCTGGCCTAGGCAACATGCATTTCTTTTTATTTATTATTTATTTATTTATTTACTTTTGAGATGGAGTTTAGCTCTTGTTGCCCAGGCTGGAATGCAATGGCATGATCTCGGCTCACTGCAAACTCTGCCTCCTGGGTTCAAGCAATTCTCCTGCCTCAGCCTCCTGAGTAGCTAGGATTACAGGCACCTGCCACCACGCCTGGCTAATTTTTTTGTATTTTTTAGTAGAGATGGGGTTTCACCATATTGGTGAGGCTGGTCTTGAACTCCTGACCTCAAGTGATCCAACCACCTCGGCCTCCCAAAGTGCTGGGACTAGAGGCATGAGCCACCGCATCCGGCAGCAACATATATTTCAAAAGAGTAGCCTGGCCACTAGGATGTACCTACCTACATTTTTGGTGCAAACTATTACTTTGGGGACATCTTTCTTTCTTTTTTCCTTTTCTTTTCTTTTCTTTTTTTTTAATCTACAGATGGGGTCTTGTTATGTTTCCTGAGAGGCTCAAGTGCAGTGGCTATTCACAGCCATGATCATAGCACACTATGGCCTCAAACTCCTGGCCTCAAGTGATCTTCCCACATAGCTGGGACAACAGGTACATGCCACTGTGCCCGGCAGGACATTTTTCTTAATAGAAAACTACTATCATGAAGAATTATGTTTATCTCTTCACTATGTCTACTCAACTAGTTTCAACATAGTATGAAATTAACAGTATGACACAAAGCAACGTTCCATGTTAATTTCCATGCTGAAGCAATGTTCTTGACCCAACACTGGATAAATCTCATTCTTGATACTAGGTATTTCTTGGGTATGGCTGCTTTAATTAACCTCTGCAAAACTCAGATCTTAGTAATTCCGAGTGAAAGAACCTTGCTAGCTGTTCTTACTCTGTACAGAAATATGACAGTCTGGGTTGATTGGGCTTGGAATTCTATATTGATATGACAATTTTTTTGGTAAGACCTTGCTCAGATATATGACCCATGTTGTCAAATGTTCATAAATATCTCAGTTTTAGAAATCCCATCACTACTGTACATTAGGCTTTCTCTTTCAGCGTTCACAGGCATCAGAGCTCTGGATGAAAAAGGCAGATCCCGACTCGCACAGCATGTCTTTACCGTTTCCCAACAATGCTCAGGCCCAGGCCCCGGCCAGCTTTCTTCTGCAGATCCACAGGGAAAATCTCCAAGTTCTCCTCATCCCGGTAGTGTGCCTCATCTCTGTACACCACCAGCCGCACCTTCTGGGGGGTCTGCCTCAGGGCTGTGATGGCTTCTTCGTGGCTGGAGTTCCTCAGGTCAACCTCATTAACCTGGAACAATGGGCATCCTGAGCTGGGCTGCTGATGGCGAGGCCTCTGCCTGCTCTGTCTGCTGAATCTTCTTGATCTAACCAGTAAAGAATCTCTAGAAATTTCCAGCCAATCTCAAAGCAAACAGGTAGTGACCATGAGCAGTACGAGCTGCTTTGAATATAAAGGAGGTGGCCCTTAAAATATCCTACCCAACATGTGCACAGAGGGTGGATACACAATAATGCAGTTTTACATAGTTACAAACTTTACTGTGAAACCAGTGAAAGAGACAGGAGAGTGTGCACGCAGGGAATTAACTAGCTCACTTAATTGAGATCAAAGGGAAATAAATATTAGTGTTTAGTCAGCATTTTTATATTCGGTTTGCTGATTGGATTTGACATCTTCACTCTCATTTATTTACTTATTTTTTTAGATAGGGTCTTGCTCTGTTGCCCAGGCTGGAGTGCAGTGGCATGAACACTGCCTTACTGCAGCCCTGACTTCCCAGACTCAAGCAGTCCTTCAACCTCAGCCTCCTGAGTATCTGGGACTGCATGTGTGTGCCACCATGTCTAGATAATTTTTTAAATTCTGGAGAGATGAGGTCTTGCCATATTGCCCAGGCTGGCCTCAAACTCCTGGACTCAGGTGATCCTCCTGCCTCGGCCTTTCAAAGTGCTGGGATTACAGGCATGAGCCACCATGCCTGGCTGACATCTTCACTCTTATTTGCTCACATCACAACGACTTCATAACAGGCCCATAAGGAGATGAGGGAACAGTATTTCTAACAGTATCCAAGACCCCTTGAAGTCTTCTCATTGGAATCTAGTTCTCAGTGAGCACAGACAGGACCATGCGTTAGAAAGCAGTGTACCGGCCGGGCGCGGTGGCTCACGTCTGTACTCCCAGCACTTTGGGAGGCCGAGGCGGGTGGATCATGAGGTCAGGAGATCGAGACCATCCTGGCTAACACGGTGAAACTCCATCTCTACTAAAAACACAAAAAAATTAGCCGGGCGTGGTGGCGGGCGCCTGTAATCTCAGCTACTCGGGAGGCTGAGGCAGGAGAATGGTGTGAACCTGGGAGGCAGAACTTGCAGTGAGCCGAGATATCATGCCACTGCACTCCAGCCTGGGTGACAGAGCAAGACTCCGTCTCAGAAAAAAAAAAAAAGAAAAGGAAAAAAAAAGAAAGTGGTGTACCGAAAAGAGCACTGAGTAAAGCCAAGTCATGTAACCTCTCTGAGCCTCTGTTTCCTTTTCTGTTAAATAGACATTATAGCCAAATTATTTAGTCTTTAACTTAAATACTTCTGCAGTGCTTGTGTGCTACTCCTTTATGAATATTTACTTATTTAATCCTTATACTAACTCTCTGAGA